TTCAGACTGATGAAACAGAGCTACCTTTAAGAATATGCAATGCATCTATCCTAGCTTCACCACTCCAGAGTGGAACAGAAATCAATATACAGGTTTTTCAAAGAGCTCACAATATGTATCTTGTTTCAGAAATCTTTATAATAACAACCACCCAGATGGATGTCTGAGCAAGCAGAGAAGAGCTTTGGCCATTCTAAGCCAGCATGATAGCATTGCAATTGTTAGGACTAAGACTTATTTGTGTACATTTTCCATGAACTTGCAGTTCTTTCACACATCGTACATTGCCCCAATTGGACGCAAAACCCCAAAATTTTTCATGAATTTAATTTTTTATTCCTAGAATAATGTCCCATTCCTGTGTCCTTCATTTGAAAGTCTTATATGTTTCTCTATATTCATTGACATTTGTATTCATTCAGGTGATCCATGATCTAATCTCAGTTTATTCAGGAGAAAAAGCAATGCAAACCCCCTAATAGTAATGTCTGCTTCTTGTAACTCAAGAAGTAAATTTTTCCCTACAGATGGAGACTCAGCATTAACTTGTTTTCAACATTTTTCTCCATGGAATGCTAACCCATTCTCCTGTCAATCATGTCATCTGCAATCCAATATGGTACAAATACATAATGTAGAGCAAAGGCAGAACAACTATCAAAATGCATGAATTATGTAATTTATTTATTAGAAAATGTTCTCCTACAAATCTATTATATTACATCTACTCAGTGAAGTATAATCTTTTAAATTTTACATAAAGTTATAACTATATAAATTGCCCTTTTTTAAAAAAAAAGTTACTAAATGTAGTTTCTGGATATTATGTCCTTATATTTTTATTTGAATATACATATATGTATACCTAATGTAAGGTAACTTTCACCAACTCTAGATCTGAAGGCACTATGAAAGAATTCCAGTGACTGCTATGTGTTACGTGCAAACCTTATTTATAGTGAAATCCAAGTTTATTTATTTACTGTATTTAGTTTTTTTTCTCCCCCCTGCATGGTATAACACAGTGGTGGCGAACCTATGGCACGCATGCCAGAGGCGGCACTTGGAGCCCTCTCTGTGGGCACACGCACCATTGCCCCAGCCCCGCCTCTCCCCACGGCCCCCTCCTCACCAGCAGCCCCCTTGGAGGAGAGTTGCCCCCACGCGCGGCCTGCACAGAGCAGCACAGCCAAGGACATATCTAGGCAGCATGGACAAGACTCCACCCTCGTGCCTCATAGTATGCAGATGATGCTGCGGAGTGTAGGCAGAGGGCGTGGCTGTCATGGCACTGCAGGGCTGCCTGGGTGATCTGCTGCAGCGGGCCATGGGGATAGTGCGTGGTCCTGCGAGCGGGCAGGGCAAGGGGCAGGCAGAGGCGGAGCAGGCAGGACGGGAGGTGGAGCGGGGGCAGGGGGGCAGTTTTTGGGCACTCGGTCCCTAAAAGGTTCGCTATCACTAGTATAACAGATTTAAATTATTGAGATTTGGGGGGGATCAGAGGGATGGCTTCCACCTGCCTTTTGTTTTGGGAATGGAGTAATATTTGTTTCCATCCTGGTAAGAGCCGGCCTCCACACTCACAAACACATACATATTTAAATAGTGATACATTCAGTATACCTCTAAGCAGTTCAAAATCTGTGTTCTCCTTCCTCTTGTGTTTATTTTCATGTGTTGCAAATCCTATCAAGATAGTCTCTCTAACCCCCAGAGCCAATCTACAGGAAGGTGGAGGAAGAGAAGGATCTGTTTCACTGACAGATGCCAATCTTTCTGTATTGACCCAGGTTATTGGTTTAACTATCTAAAATTGACCCCAGATTATTACAAGATTTTTAAATTTAGCAACATTCTTACATTAAATCTAAAGTTTGTATTAATTTGTCAAATGGGATCATTATCTTCAGATCTATTTATTTATATTCGATTTATTTATCTCAAACAAGTGGCTGTGAACAGCAAACAAACAAGAAACAGCAGAAAACCAACAAAACATCAAAATGAATAGATAATCAGCATCCAAGATAAAAACAACAACCATAACTTTTCTTACTTTGGACACATTATATGAAGACCCAGCTCTGTGAAGAAAGCTGTAATGCTGAGAAAGAGAAGAGGATGATCAGAAGCAAGATGAATGGACTTAGTTACAGCATCAATAGGTGCACTGTTGGAAGTCCAGAAGGATCAGGGTCAGAGTGTGATGGAGAAAGTCTACTTATGTGGTTGCTATGAGTTAAAACCAACTTTATGGCACTTCATCATATATATATAAATATTAATATGTATGTATATATGTAGAATAGAATAGAATAGAATAGAATAGAATAGAATAGAATAGAATAGAATAGAATAGAATAGAATAGAATATTGCCCAGGCGTGATTGGACACACAAGGAATTTGTCTCCCGTGCATAAGCATATATACATATATATCCAGCTATTTACATTTTTACTTAGTAAATCCTTTGAAAATCAACGTGACTTTTCAGGTTGCATTATGAAAGATCTTTATATGAGGCCAGCGTTCCAGCTGCTGACACAATTTGCTTGTTCCAATAGGCCAATCAGATGCCAAGGAAGGAATTTTTTTTCCATCCTGAAGGTCAACCGCCTCCTGAAGCCTATGTAGACTTAACTATGCCACCTGCCTCCGTCAACTATTTACTCTCGCCTTCTTCCAAGTGGCAGGGCAGCTTTTCAGTCCAGACTAACCTACGGCTTCTTAGCCAGACTAGAATCTACTTAGGTTCAGAGCCTAGAAAAAAGGCTGCCTTGACCAGGCCACTTTCTAAAAGCTCCTTCTGAGCTAAATCAATGCATATTTTGACACCCAAGACAAGGCCTGTGGTTTGGCATCCCGCGGCTGCCTTCTGAGCTTAGGGTCTGCCTCCTCCCTCTACGCGGTATCTAAGAGCCGCCACCCACCCCGCTAACCTCTCCACGGTGCCCCACCCCTCGGCTCTTCTCTTCTCATTGCTCGAGCTCCTTCTCAGCGAAGGGGCAGGAAGGTCTGGTGCCTTCTTTTCGATCCCCGGGGCCAAGTCACCGGGCCGTAAGGTAGGCCGGGGGGTGGGGGGTGGGGGTGGGATCTTGCTGCTGCTGCATCTGGGCAGGACCGAGGGGCGGAGAGCCCAGATTGCGTGCTATGATGAAATCCCCTCGCCGGCGGGTATAGGGAGACGGCGGCTCATTGCAATATTCAGCAGCGGTAGCCACGGAGGCTCCGTCTTTCGTCCGCTCGCTCCTCTCCGCCTCCTCTCCTCCGCCTCCTCCCCACCCCACCAGCTGCTCCATGGCAGAGCTGCCCTGACTCCCCCGCTGCACCGCGCCGCCAACAGCCCCGCCCGTCAACCCGCTCTGGCCCGGAATGATCTGAACCCTCCGGTAGATAAGCAGCCGAGTCCAGCGCAATCACCGATCGCAGGTGAGTGGCGCCTCGGCAGGCTTCCTTCCCCCAAAGAGCCTGGAGCGTCCGCTTGGACGGGAGGCAAGGATGGGGGGGGGGCGGGGAAACAGCAGGTCGATCGTAACGCTCGCCCTGAAGGTGAAGCCCTCGGTCTGCGCAGGGTTGCAACCGCTCTCCGGCGAGCGTAGCCTGTCCTCCGCTTCCTTTGGAAAGCGGAGCAGGACTTGATAGGTGGGGGGGGGGGGAAAGGAGATGGCTCGTGGTCTCGGGGATTCTTTTCCACCAGAAATCTACGGCCATTCCCTTGACTCTCCCCGTTTCCTCCTCTGGTTTCAAGGACGCGGAGTCACCCTCGTTTTCGCCGCCTTCTTCGTGGGTGAAAAAGCATCCTCGCCTGCGCGCGCTCTCCGTGGTCGTGAGCGATGCTTTTGAGGAACGGGGCTCCAAAGGGGTTGCTTTCCGCCCCCCGCGGCTGCAACCCCTGAGTCAGGCGAGGTAGGCCAGATCTAGGGTGGCAGGCCAGGACGAGGGGGACCAGCTGTTGCAGCAGTAATAACTATCACCAGACTTGTTGAATTGGGGGGGGGGAGACGAAGGTTACCCTTCCCCGAGGGACCAACCTGGACTCCAACAATGGCTATGGAGGTGCCCAGACATCCCCACCTTCCGCTCCTCATTTGGAGACCCAAGAGAGACAGTCTCCTGTCTGTTCCAGCACACTTCCCTGGCAGGAAAGCAGTGCTTGCAATGAGATAACTGCTGAAGATTATGAACAAGGTATTTTTGTGACTACTGTGCTGTGAAGTATATAGCCTGAGCTACTCCCAATCTCTTTAAAGCCTGACTCCCCCCCCCATCCCCGATAATCTGGGAGCAGCAGCACCCTTTGCTGAAGCCATCTTCCATTCCACCCCATGTCTTCTCTCCATGCAGAGCTCAGTGCCGGGATGGATGTGTTTATGAAGGGCTTGTCGAAGGCAAAGGAAGGGGTTGTTGCTGCAGCAGAGAAGACCAAGGAAGGGGTAGCAGTAGCAGCCGAGAAGACCAAGGAAGGCGTGCTCTATGTTGGTAAGGTTGCTGCAGGCAAATCTGCAGAGCTGCCCCTCTCACTATGCCCCCCCCCCTTGCAGGGAAACAAATCTGCCAAGCAGAGAGAGGAAGGATTAAAAGAGGAGGAGGAGGAGGAGGAGGAGGAGGAGGCAGGCTTCCATTGGTTGGGGTTTTATCATTATTCTACTTGATTTTTCCAAAGTGACAAGTGGCTTCTCTTCCTCAATAATTATTTCTGTATATGGAATGATTATAGATAAAGAAACAAAAAAAAAAGTCCAATAGTATGATTCCTTTCTGAGCTTTCCTGTATCCAGCCTTTCTGATTGCCTTCAGTATCCGAAAGATTTTATCTTTTAGGATTCACCTAAATATGAGATTATGTTTGATTTTCAAGTAATTATCAACATATGTCTCCTTTTCTTTGTGATTGATCAGATTGCTCATCCAATTAAGAGACACAGGTTGAATGCACTGGTTTATTTAATTTGCGTTTAGTATGTTGTGTGAACCCAACCATTAAAAAAAGCCTCTCTACCTTTTTCTTCATGATCTGAGGCAGCTTCAGTTCTGAGATGTGATTCCCTTTCTGTAAAGATACAATTCCAGTCATGAGGCGAGTGCTCTGGAGTCTTTCTGTTACTCTACACATAGATGGAATGCTTTCATTCTGCAGGGAGAAAAAAAAACATTGGGGTATCTTAAAGCATTTTTCCTTCAACAAACTCTAAGGCTATAGTTCCTTGGGAAAAAGCAGCGATGTGACAGCTTATGAATTAGTGTTAAATTTCAGCCAGTTTGATAAATTCACCAATAAGCAGCCATTCCCAAAACACTTGAATAAATCATGCCTCCACTAATATTATGTTCTCTTTTGAAATGATGAGATCCATTCCCAAGTTCTTCATTCCAGAGATTCATCTATCAACTTCTCATTTTCATTCCATTTTGTCATTCATCATCCTAGTGCTGACTCACAACCTTCCTGTACATTTGCTCTTCTTCCTTGTAAAACTAAGCTCAATAAATAAAATAATCATTGAATTACAACAGTGCAGTTGTAACTAATTATAATTGTGATGCCATTTGCAAAAAGCAAGGCAACACAAACCTTCAGCAAGACCATGAAGTTCAGATAGTCTTTGACTTACAACCATTCATTTAGTGACCATTCACAGCTACAACAACACAGAACAAAATGATTTATGACCATTTTTCACATGATCATTATAGCACCTTTGTGGTCACGTGATCAAAATTCAGATGCTAGGCAACTGGCATGTATCTAAGATGGTTGCAGTGTCCTGGTGTCACATGATCACCTTTTGTGATCTTCTGACAAGCAAAGTCAATGGGGAAGCCAGAGTCATTCAACAACAGTGTTGCTAACTTAACAACTTCAGTTATTCACTTAACAACTGTGGCAAGAAAGACCAAAATTGGGGAAAAACTTACTTAACAACTCTCTTGCTTAGCAATGGACATTTTGTGGTTGTAAGTCAAGGTCTACCTGAACCAAGGTCAAAAGAAAGAATTTAAAATAGTAATTTATAACAGCTTTTTCTCTGATATATTTACAGAAAAAAAATAATGAGAGAGAGAGATGTGAATGAATCTAATGCTTTAAATCAGGAATTTAAATTAGGAAAAAAAACAGATGTGATAAGAAAGAAAAAGCAATGTGATGTAGACCCTACTATCTCCTAGCTTGGATACATTCCATTCAACTCTTCTTAATTTGTATTCCTCAGCCAGTTAGGAATCTGGCCTTAACTTGATCAGCTCACAATCAAAACATCAAAGGCAGATAATAAAATTGATTCGAGCTAAATGTGAATCCAGGACTTTCCCCCCCCAAAATCTCTATATTTTGCCAATCCAAATCATAAAAACATCTCCAACTGTGATCTGCCATCATGGGGAATGCTAGGCACCACTTAAGAGAAATGCTGGTTAAACTATAGAACTATAGACTAGCAATGGCTATTAGTCTTTATAGCTGTATAATATCTCTTGAATTGCTAGCACCAAATTTTAAATGCCAACTGTTTGAGAATGATCAATCAAATTGGGACAGATCGTCCTGCAGAAAATCTATCTATCAGTTCACTAAGATTCGATGGTACATAATCAGCTGGTCAGTCAATCAATTGAGTAATAGTGCAAAACAACTATACTAGCCCACCTAATGTGTGATTTCTGAATATATATTTGGTTAGCCACTGTGTGCCACAGAAGTAGATTCAAAGAGCCCTTCACTGCTGCTGCTGTATCTGTAAAGATGTCATCTTGAGAGTGAGATGGGTGGTCTCTAAATTTTTACACACATATACACACAGAGAGAGACAGAACAAATATCGTGTATTATTTACACATACAATAAAATGAGAATACATAATGGTGTTGTCCTGTAATTTTTTTCCATCCTGGTGATTTAAATGAATTAGAATATAATTCCCATATTTCCTGCCAACATAGCTTCCAAATCTTGTGATTGGAGAATTTGTGATTGTAGTTATCTTGAAACTAGCTCTGTATGAACCTTATGTTTTTTTCTTCAGCTAAGCCATCATTCTTTTGCTTTGTTCACAAAACATGCTTTCCAGGAGTTAACTAAGCATGTTGTAAAAGTAATCTGGCTTTGCAGGATCTGGTGAACACTAAATTAACCAAATAGCATGAATTCCAGCAATATGCTTGGATGAAAAAGGTAGGCTTACTTTGGGGTTCAGTGTTCTAGGCATACATAGCTGTTCCCTGCACCTTGGCCAATTTCTCTTCCTCATATCTTCTTGAGTGTGGTCTCTTTATTTTTTCAATCTGTAGGGTTTTTCCAAATTCCTGTTCTACTATAGAAAAGATACATTAATCTGCAACCTATATTTAAAAAAGGGTTAAGGATAAAGGAGAAAATTGAGAATTGATTAGGAATATCATGGTGTGTCTTGTTGAGAAGAGCCACACTCAAGGAACATTCCTTAGCAACATGCTAAGCCCCATTTAATGCTATTTTAGCTTAGCTTCATCCTCACTGGCCAACATCAGGCAACACAACTAAGGAAGCAACCATATTTGTAGATTTGCAACCTTTTTGAAACAGATTCTGGCAGTTTCATATGACTTGCCTGTCAACACTCAACAGGTTTTTGTTTTCATAGTTTTGTTAATCAGACTGGAGGAGCCATTGTTCTGGATAATGCTGGAATGACCACCAAACAGCCAAAATCTAAGTGCTGGCTACAAAGTCCAAAAGGCATCTTGAAAGAATGCAGTGCTCTCCCATTTCTGCACAGTTCCCAAGACAGCTAACTGGATATGTCTGGATAAAATCACCAGATCTTGAGCTCCGCTCAAAGGAGATTTGACTTTTATTTTATTTTATTTAAAAAAAAATAAGTTAAACTCATATTGGACCACGAGTCATGGCACATGGCTTCTCCTTGCTGCCTGTGTTTCATTTCTTTCCGTGCCCATATGCAATGAAAATGGAAATGGAAATAGAAGAAAGAGAGGCCAGAAGAGAGAATGAATTTCAGAATGAACCTCCCTTCAGGATTCACATAACATGATGAACCAACCAGTGCACTTTGACCTTTGTCTATGGCAATCTGTCAGATCCTCAAAGAAGGCCAGGTGAGGAAACATATACTACAAGAAATACTTGAACTCAGCTTTATTGGTTTAGGATACACCAACAGAATCTTTTTTTTTTCTCCATCCCTCCCTCTTATACCAAACAGAGTCAAGACACACAGTTTTGAGTTTCTTTCTCGTGCTTTCTGGTTTCTTAGGTTATGTTCATATTTTGCCAATGGTTTCCACATATCTTCTTCAGAGTCATCTCTGTGATCCATCTGAACTCAAAAGAAAATAGAGGGTCAAATTGCGCCTTAGTGTAGTCTGTCTTATGAATGTAGCCAGGATACCAACAATTCCATATTTGTCCTGCCTTCTGGCTCTCTCTCATTTTTCATCTTATTCGCCCTACTGAGAGAACCTGAAATTAGCTAACTTGCCCATTTCCCCATAAGAGTTTTTCCTCTGCTGTGCCTTTGCACTTTGACTTTAAGCATAATGTGGTTTGTTACACTGTAACTTGCATAATTTGGAACACAACTATTAGAGTTTTTAAATCCTAACTTATGGGTTTACACAATGTGTGCATGTGTGGTAGCATGTGTAGCTCTATAGGCTTTGGTTCATCCCTTCCCCCAAGCCTTTTCTGAGGAGATGTCAACAAAGTGTATCTAGGCAATACCTATCCTATTTCTCTCTTTCTTTGAGTGACAGGCTGCTATATGGATTGATGTTGGGGTTTTTTTGTTTTACTGTTTGTTTTTGTTGCTATATATCCCCAACCTTTTGGGCACCAAGGACCGGGTCCGTGGAGAGAGGTTTTCCCGCGAACCAGAGGGGTGTGGTTTCATGTGCTGCCTGCACCCCAACAATCTGGGTTCTCATTTTACTGACCTCGGAAGGATGGAAGGCTGAGTCAACCTTGAGCCAGTGGGAATCGAACTGCCAAACTGCTGGCAGTCGCAGTCAGCAGAATTAGCCTGCAATACTGCATTCTAACCACTACATCACCACAATGGCAAAACACTTCTGAAAATCTTGTCAAGAAAACTGCAGGGACTTGTCCAGGCAGTCTGAGAATTTGAAATGATTGAATGGAAGAAAAAAAAATAGCCACCTAAGCTGATCCAACAAACTCATGTTAAAACAAACTATGGTTTGTGCATCCAGCCGAAGAAAACTGCTAGATTCTAGAATGCCATATTATCATTTTTAAAGTTACAGCCCTGTAAGATCAAAATGGAGATTAATTGACTAGAAAAATGATCCAACTTAGATGGATGTGGAGTTGGCAAGACACATGGTAATTCATTTTTGAATTCTTGTTAAAATTGCTATTCTTTTCACCCCACCCTACCCATTTTAAAAGGAAGCTAGAATATTCAGATTATTAAAGGATTGGATGATTGATGCTGTGGTCCAGCATATGTTGCAGCCAATTTATTTATCTGCTGCTTTGTGAAAGAAGAAATCTTTCTTATAAAAAAACCCCTAAGATATTGATGTCTTTTTTGAAGTCTTTTAAATAATATTTATAAAAAAACTGAGAAGTCCTGGCTTCTTTAACAGGTTATGAAAAGTAATTATCTAGTGGAATGATATAGCACAGGGCTTTTCAACCTTTTCACCCATTGTACCACTTTTAGGATATGGCAACATCCGAGTACCACCAGTCACCTAGCAAGGTGTTAAAAACTTGATGACCCCCCCCAAAAAGGAAAAAAGTGATAAAGTACAGGTAGTCCTCGACTTACAACAGTTTGCTTAGTGACTGTTCGAAGTTACAATGGCACTGAAAAAAGTGCCCCCCAAGCCACAGCCAAGCAAGACACCTGCTTGCCCACCCAGCAGCGCTCTTCCTCCTTTCCGAAGTTTTCATTGTTGTGAGCATTTCTGTTGAGGATTGGCAGTGGGGGTGGGGAGGGGGCTCTTTGGTTTTTATTCCCCCCGCTTGCTGGGTGGTTGCAGCAGGTTTTGGTCACTTCACATGACCCCGGGACATTGTGACCATCATAAATATGAATCAGTTGCCAAGCATCTGAATGTAAATCACAAGACCCTGGAGATGCTGCAATATTCCAGCTGATCGGCGCTTCTTCTGGGCTCAGCAGAAGCATCAGGATCAGCACCAAGCTCCAGCTGGAGACTGGCGCTGATCCTGGCGCTTCCACTGAGACCTGACAGTCCCAAAGAAGCGCCGATCAGCTGGAAAGTGGCACTGATCCTGGTGCTTCCGCTAAGCCCTGACAGCCCTGCAGCTCCAGCCATCTCTGGCTCAGGCTTGTGCAGTGCTGCCATTGGTTCAGCTCATTCTCCTCCCCTGCTACCACTTTTCTAGGATGGTCGTGTACCACCTGCCAGGTGCCAATGTACCACAGGTGGGACCCGTACCACTGGTTGAAAAGCTTTGATATAGCAGACTGACCAACTCATGACTTGTTGATGTTCTGCACAACAGATTCTTCAATATCCTGATACAGAACATCATACTGATGGAGCTTGATCCAAAACATTTCTACATTTCCCAATTCCATTTACAAACATGTAGATCTTAAAACCACAACAC